TCTTTGAGGGTGGGGACTCGGTGGTCATGGTGGTGCAGAGGTAAGGTGAGTTGACAGGTGGGCGTGTGTTGACCGATATTTATGTGTGGCCAACCCACATCGCCTCAGGCTCTGTATCGTTCTTTCGGATCAACACTGCCCCAATTGTTGTGTCCGTGGATGCGGAACTGCCTGGCACATTCACCCTCAATCCAGCAATTACAGAAGGTGATCGTCTTGCCTTCCTGAAATTGCGCCTCAAGTCAACATTCTGCTAAGGTTTAAAACAGCCTGTGATGCGAGGTCAAACGAAACGGGCCCTTGGTGAACGGCGTTCACCCATCCGTGAATTGCTGGGAGGGAAATTAAATCTGCCAACCAGCTGCCGCATCGCATAGCCGTGATGGGATCGTTCAGTTCAGGACCTCGGCACTGTGCATTGGGCGGCTCGGATCACTCGGCATACTTCCGTTGCCTTTGAATGGAACACGACAATTGAGGGAAGCGCCCATCGGGGTGCAGCGAGTCGGGAATTTGTTAATTGATCCCTGGAAACCCACGCCTCTGGGCTATTCATAACTCTGTCTCTGTCTCAAAAACTGGGAATAGCGGGATGGAACAGAAAGCACGCAGGGTGCAAAGAGAAAGAAAAAAAACATCTCCATCATGGACATGACTCGGACTCGGATCGAACCAGTCGCTGCAGAGGTCACGGAGGCTTTGGATGTTCTTTCCACCGAATTCAAGCTCACTGTGTCAAAGTAGGGTTTTACTAGCAGCAGCTTGTGTGCACTCACGAAGTTCCGCGAGTTGCAGTCTGCTGTTCATGCAAAAGGGCGGGGAGGGAGTTCGGAAGGAGAAGGCTAGCCGACTCGAGAAGAAATCATCCCGCACCGAGTGGAGAGTCGAGACATGCATGCGCTTCCTTGTTTTATCGTCAACAGGAAGGCAAACTAGAGTGGGGACGGAGAGATACCAGAGTAGAGGCTAAGTGGAGGACAACACATGCGGCCCAAATGCGTTTATTTCATAGCAAGTTATGTGTCCGGAGAGCGGCGAGGGACTGACTGGACCGGCCTAAACCGTCAAAGGAAAAGAAACGAAAAAAACACTGGCAAACGCGCCCCATGGCCCAAGCTCAAGTCGAACGAGCAACCTGCTGAGATAGACCGTTTTGGATAGTATATGATGCAGGTGCGCATCGCGCGCATCCGGGCTTGCCCAAGCATGAATGGACCCGGCCTGTGTTCGAACATATTAGAGCACTGAGGCAAAATGTTGTACCTCGCTGTCCCTATGGCCCGGGCTCGAGTCGAACGAGGACTCTGCATGATTATTACGGGACTCCCAACTAATGCAGATGCGCAACACGGGCACGGGGCCACGGGCCTTCCCAATCCAGAATTAACCCCGCGGGTGTTCAAAGAATCAGACAAGTGTCCCAGCGACAGCGTAGATTCAATGGACTCACCGCATGGGTAAGCCATTCCGCTGGAAGTTATATCGCAATCTGGTTGATTGAGATTCAGTCAAAATAAGGAACAGCACGGGAAAGAGAACTGAACACGCCTACGCTGACGCCATGGACCAGGCTCGACTCAAACGAGCTGCCTGCTTTACCAGTCAAAACAACTATGGGATGCAGGTGCGCACCGCGCGCGTATGGGTCTTGCTGGCAAGGTTTCGAAGTACTTACTTAGATGGAAATCGCGCCTGAGGAATCGAAAAAAATGGCCAGTTATCATTTTACAGCCCCAACATTGATTGGATTCTGTGGACAGGATCAGCGTGGGCGCAAAAAAGGACAGCATCTATGCTCGAGTCGAACGAGCTGCCTGCTGCAGTGCTGCATTTGTCGCAACTCGATTCAGGAGGGGCAGGTACGCACCACGCGGTTGCGGGCTTGTTATACTCATTATATAGTCCGTGGACGTGCAGTGAGAAGCGGCGGATGGATCGCTCAATGGGAGAACTGGCAGAGGGTGCCGGTGGTGGTGGTAGGAAGCAAGAAAAGGCAGCGTGCGAATGAATCAATGATTCGACGAAACGCATCAAGGTGCCGTAAACGCATCTTGCTCTTCCCGCCGACCCGACAAGGGCTTGCCTTCCGTCCCGGTCCACAACAAACACAAGCACCGCAAAAGCGCTACGAGAAGATGCAGGTAAGTCAAGATCTTGACCCCCAAGCACCCATCCGCAGAGGGGACTACTGTGGACGTGGGCAATGCAAATTATGCAATTGAGTGGTGCGTACTTTGACCATGCTGTACGGAGAAGAACATACGACACCGTGCCTTTGTGTACACACAGGACGAAGATGTTCTGCCCTCCGCACCGTCGCCGGCCTAGGAGCTCGCGTCTGTGTCTTGCTGCGTCTGCGGGGCTGGAGTAGCAGAAAACTCGACGGCGACAGATTCCTTGCGACTTCTACACTCTTCGGCCCGCTCCTGAATAACCACCGGCGCGCACAACCGTCCACGGCGTTGCCTCTATGTCGAAAAAATAAACGTCACCAGTGGAAGCTCTGGATCTCGGCCTCGTGTTGGTCACCGCGCCCCCGTTTGTTGGATCGGCCGATGTCCTCGCTGCGTGCCACGTCGTGGCAGCGATGTTTCACACCGGCGTCGTCTACCGACGTCTCCCTTCCAACTGCCGACAAAAGGTGGTTACAAGCTGCGCGGATTCCTCCCCAACGCACTTGCCCGTCTGCCCGCAGTCCTCTATTTCGGCCTACACACAGGGCGCGCGGCCAAACGGCGGGTAGGACGGAGAAGCGAGCACTAGCGCCCAGATATCTCTCGTTTCGCCGCAGCCGCCGACTTTGAGGACAGGGCTGCGAGGGGCCGAAGGGACCGCGCGTTGGAAGTCGGGGATCTGGGAGTGGGAAGTGGGAGCAGGTGTGACTCGTTCTCCTCTTTCCTTCCCTTCTACTCACCTGCACAAGACTCGTTCTTCCCGCTCCTTTCCCTCCCCCCCTCTTTCCATCACCGTTTGCCCGTAATCGCTACATTCCGCACCGTGCATGACGCTGACTCCGGCCGTGCACGTGCGTCCAACCAATCCCCCGCGCATCAAATAGCCCGCAGTGGGGCCGTCCGCGTCCGCCCTCAGGTGCGCTAATACCAGCGCCGCACACGGACTCGTGGCTTGCTGCCCCCACTGAGGCTGGGATGAGAACGAGTGCGCCAGGAGGTACGTTCCTGCATCATCTCTTTTTCTACATATTCTAATGTCTGAGCGCATATCAATTCTACCATCCAATTGCGCTTCCCGTGTCTTACCCCTTGTGCGGTTCTTCCTTCTCTCAATTCTTGTTGCCTCCTTCCGTCCATCGACTAACCACTCGTTCTTTGCAGGCCCTTTTCGACGGCGTCAAGTCCGACTTCGAGTGACAGTTTGGTGGGATCATGAGCTACCAGTATCGTTCATTCACAATCGCAACCTGTACACCAAAATCTTTGTCCATCCACTTACGTTGCTTCAATTATTCCGTTCAAACCTAGTGCGTCTGCACCATGGATCCGAAACGGTACCAGTAATCAACCTGGAAAGGCCCGCATGCGTATGGTGCGCACAGGCCTGCATTATAAACGTTTGGGAGCACTCTCTCGGATATACACAGGAATCAAACGAGGTCACAACGACACGAATTACTACCTACTTGTCCGCCCACGCTTCTCACGACGTGGCCAGGAATCGGCTCCTCCGCCCGATTAACGGCTAGCCGTTAAATTCTCATATTCCCCTCTTCTTACGCCGGGCCAAGCAAATGGTGTTTTTGATCTCGGACGGACAGGAGCTATCGCTCAACAACTTGAGAAAGGCGAGTCCGATGACGAATAATCTTGGTTTGTGTTGATTGTCTAATCCCTGGACGGTGCAGATTTCCTGCGTCTCCCCGTTTTTGACAATTCCGGCCACTGTCACCCGAGTATTTCCTTCCTCAAGGAACTGCCAGATCTGACCGCCTCCCGTTAGCGTCATTCTGAGACATGCGATCATGGTCGCACCTCGTAGCCCCCAGAATCGACGTTCATACCACCTTTATAGTACGGCCCAAAAACACCCTTCATATCCCGTTTTCCAACATAGCTAGACCTAGGTCAGCCCAATTGCACCGGCGAGAGGATACCCCTCCTCACAGGGTTCGGTAGTCCTCGATTCGTGCCTCCAACTCATAGCTGGGGTGATGCAATCGTATCATCGCCGCCACGGAGCCCGGCGGTCGCTCGATATCGCATACCATGGGATCGTATACGCCGTTGGAAACGGCCTCAGTTTTGGTCGCCCCCAAGACAAAGCTATTTCGATCCCTCAAACCACCGGCCACATGACGAGAAAACTCGGACAGATTGTATGTTGCAACCCGGATCCTTTCCTCGTAGATCTTGATCTTGTCTCCTTTCAGATAAGCCCTCGTGTATGGCTCCCAAGGCAGGGCGCTCGGATGCGTACCCCTCTAAGGGCCTGCATAGTGTACCTGTGGGTTGAGTGCCGGATCGGGTGCTGGCATACTTTTCGGGGGTTTTGTCCACGGTGAAGAGGCAGGAATGTGATCAGAAGTGAAATGGTCCAAAAGATGGCTCTAACAGGAGTCGAACCTGTGACCTTCCCATTTGTACTGAGATAAGCTCTAACCACTGAGCTATAGTGCCGACATCAGGCTTGCCACAACATCCTTGTAACCTCTCGCTTGTTCAGCAGCTCGATTTCCATTGGGACTTGTGCACAATCCTTTCATCTCCCCCTTTCTTGAGAGATGTGACGTCCCCGTCACACTGTTCCGTTCCAGAATTATCGAATGCGTGCACTCGCTTTTCCAGCAGCTCACACGACTCCATCGACCCGAACCGCCAAACAATGATCAGATCATCTTTCTTAACAATTCATTCTTTCTCACATTCCATTGCATGAGTTCATCATTTTTTATTACTTGGGGTGACAGTTACTTTAGTCACCCCTCATGGGGAGCACCAGATGAAGAGGCAGGAATGTGATCAGAAGTGAAATGGTCCAAAAGATGGCTCTAACAGGAGTCGAACCTGTGACCTTCCCATTTGTACTGAGATAAGCTCTAACCACTGAGCTATAGTGCCGACATCAGGCTTGCCACAACATCCTTGTAACCTCTCGCTTGTTCAGCAGCTCGATTTCCATTGGGACTTGTGCACAATCCTTTCAACGGGTTAACGAACACGGGCATGTTCGAGGGGGTGCAGGTACGTTGAGATACGCCGCTGTGGAATACCTGTGGGTAGCGTGCCGGATCCGGCGCTGGCATACTTTTCGGGGGTTGCGTCCACGGGTTAACGAACACGGGCATCTTCTGGCGGGAAGAGTTGTACTGCCGCTGCTGCGAGGTGTGGGGGGGTGCAGGTGCACTGAGATACGGCGCTGTGGAATACTGATCTTGTTGTCCATACATGGTGGGCAATAATAATAAAATGAGAAAAAGAGTACCTGTATTTATGTGTCCCCGCCACCGGTAAAGCGCCACAGTCTCGCTATTGTCTCTTGATGATGACTCGTCCCGTGGATGCTTCTTGTTCGTCGCCGTTAAGAAATTTTCGCCTTTTATGAACACGAAACAAGGGACCTACAAGTGGTGAATCGAGTCCAGTCGTGGGGCGTTCCGGGGCGAGTCAAATCAACTCTGGAGATGTTTGGGAGATGTGTTCGACGCCACTTGTCACGGGGTCGTCAAATTATGCCTTGTTCTTTTGCTTAAAGTTAGAATTTTGCGCCACGGCTCACCGGTTGTAGATGAAAATTAATGAGCCGACGCGCCGCGGTGGCCAAGCAACCAAACGAGAGCTGGACAAGATTGGAAAGTCGAATCTCTTTGCTCGAAGATTAATTCGAGTCACTCACCCACTCCGGGGTAAGGCACCCATCCAGTCTGCTTCGAGCCGCCTTTGGCTGGGTGCCGTTTATCCTGTGTCCCAGAAGATCAAGAGCCGTGTATACCTTGCTCGCCTGAGCTCGGGCTGCATATCCGTCTCGAAAAGGATCATCGTGGGACAAAATCAGCGGGGGAAAAATAACAGCGAACGGTAATCCATGCCGCAGATAAAATAAGTAGATGTTCCGCATGGATGATCACAGTATTCTCTCCCAACTCGAGACTGTGTTGAATCGTGATATCATGTCAGTGTGGTGAGTAATGGGCCACATAGACTTGAAGTTGAATTGAAGTCGAACTTGAAATCGGACACCGAAGACACTCACAGAACATTTTGCCCAAGTAAAGTTGCTTCCAGGTGAGCCGTGGGGTGCGACGTTGTAAGCCCTGGTAAGGCTGGAATGCCCTGCGTCAAAAAGAAAACTCAATGATCCCCCGTCTGGATGGCCGAAGCTCGAGTCGAACGAGCTACTCGGTCGAAATTCGAATCTCACATAATGCACCCGCCCTGAATTCCGAGTCGACCTATTCCGAATGGTTCCCAAATGATCAGTTCGATGAGTTGGAGTCGCAACCCATACATGTGGTGGGAAAGGGGAAATAGTCGTGGAAGTAGTGAGACCGCAACCACCGGAGATTGAATGAGGGCGAGGGCGGAGCGGGGAGGAGAGAAAACGAAAATAACCCCCAAAGAAGATTGGAGCGGTAACTGTGCTAAACTCACCGATTGACGCGGCCCGAGTCCGGGTGTCGAGTAACAAATTCTGCATCGAGAAGAACATTCTGTCTGGGGGGCCTTCAAGATGCGCTTTGCGAGTGTAGGTCGTGAGGTCTAAAATAAAAGTCCAGGCAGTCAAAAGGAGTTGCGTCAATGTCAGCTGATGGCCCGCGCTCGAGTCGAACGAGCCGCCTACTGCAATGACGGTGAACGAAAGTCCACGAGATGTAGGTGCCCTTCGTGGGCATCCGGGCCATTGTTGATATGGTTTCAACCTGTCCATATGCCTAAGAATCTGAGGAGTAATTCATTGCAAAACGATTGGGTACCTGGTCTTGAGTGAAATGATCACGTTCTGTGCGTGAATGAATGAGCAGCACGGAGAAAATTTGAGACTTACATACCCAGCAAGGGCCAGCATAGCCCGGGCTCGTGTCGAACGAGCTCACTGCGGAACTTCTTTGCGAAGCAATTTAGTAGATCTAGAGTGCGTATGCGCACCCATGGCGTCCGGGCCTTTCATTGTCGCATTCCTATCGAGTGGGAGGAGAACGGCCGCAGGGTGATTTACGAACCCGACGAGAGAAAAAGGATGAGACGCAAGATGCCGTCTACGGCCCGGGCTCGAATCGAACGAGCTCGCTGAAGAACAGAATCATGATCCCGTAATAAAATTCGGGTGCGCACCTGCGCGTCCGAGCCGTTCCCTGCCTGATTCCGACCGCCTGTATTCCCAAACGATTGAGGAGTACCGATTGAGGAGTACTTTTTGCGTTCTTGGTTACGCGATCAGCCCGGGTAGCACTTGGCATTCCCGAAGAGACGAGGACAGAAATTTTGTAAGTACTGGGTTCGAGATGAGCCAAAGCAAAGGGAGTAAAACGACAGGACAAGCGTTAATGGCTCCGTCCTGCATTTATGGTACACTGTCTATCAGTTGAATGCAAGTGTCGCCTCCAGGCCTTTAAAGTGTTGAAACTTGAGAGGCCAACCGGTGGGTGTCCCGAAACGTTGGAGCGCGGAGGGCAGAGCGGCGGCGTAGGTGGAGCAGTGACAAAGCAGTGAGCAACGATGGTCACACCGCAGGATCGCGCGTAAAAGGCCGCCTGAAGTTTCTTTTTTATTCCAAATATCGTGGTACAAAAAAATTACCTTTTTATGTACCTAGATATTAAGTGAAAAAATGGCATTGAAAGGCGGCCCAATATGGCGGAAGATTAAGTGCAAAAAGGGGTCCATTATCTGTTGAATAATCAGACAGTGGTTATATGATCCATTTCCGCCCATATTTCTGCGGATATAAGGGCGGCGAATATAAGTGGACTCATTTTGTAACTCAATCTTACCTAAAATGTGCTGACAATTACATGCCAAGATATTACGGATATCAGGGCCGAAAGGAACCGGCCCTGATAGCTGCCATATCACGCTCCTTTTTAACCATTGCCATGGCTATAAAGGAGCCAGATATCAGGCTAATTTTTTTCGGCCCTGATATTCACAATATTTTGGCATATTTCGGCATCTCTGTTTCGGGTAGGATTAAGTGTCAAAATGAGCTCATTGATATGTCTAATAACACGGCGAAATTAGGTGCCCTGATATCCGTGAAAAGATGCGTGGAAATGGGTCATTTAACCACTGTCTGATTATTCAACAGATGATGGACCCCTTTTTGCACTTGATTTTCCGCCATATTGGGCCGCCTTTCGATGCCATTTTTTCACTTAATATCTAGGTACATAAAAAGGTAATTTTTTTGTACCACGATATTTGGAATAAAAAAGAAACTTCAGGCGGCCTTTTACGCGCGATCCTGCGGTGTGGGTGAGCTGAGACTCAGAGAGCGATCGGCGCAAGCGGTCCGATCAGAGCTGATCGTCACCCCATCAATGGCTTGGCGTGCCCCTCCATGTCCTCCGCCTTTCTGACGCCCGTCTCAGCAGGGCCCGGCATGCGCATCCGCGGCGTCGACATCCCCCACGACGTCCTCGGCAGCATCCTCGCCTCTGCGCCGGACTTCGACACCCTCCACGCCGCCGTGCGCGTCTGCAGTACGTGGCACCGCGTCTTCGAGACGCACCCAACGTCCGTGCTGCTGGCTGTGGCGCGCAACGTCGCGGGGCCTGCGTTGGCGCAGGCGATGTGCGTGCTGCGGTATCCGTATCCTGAGAAGACGCCGAACGGCTGGGGGGACGGGGAGGGGGAGGGGGAGGATGGGGATGAGATGGAGGTGGACGATCCGGAGGCGACTGAGGATGATAGCGACGAGGAGGGCGTGAAGATAAAGCCGAAGAAGAAGACAAAGGGCGCCGCACCACCCAACGCCGTGTCGATTTACGAGAGCGTCGGCCAGCTCACGCCCCAGGAACGGATGCAGCTGCAAGAAAACGCCGCAACAGTCCGCGTGCTCGAAGACATCTTCAGCCTCCGGTGCGTGCGTCTCCTCTTCTTCTCTCTACCCTCCTCAATATCAATAATTATTCAACCCCATACCCCTGCAGATACAAAGACCGCACCTCAAAATCAAGCACGCTGTCGCCGCGCGAATCGCACCGTTTCGCGCGCGCGATGTACCGCATCATGACCTTCTGCGCCCGCTTCTACCTCCCGCTCAACCTCGACGACATCGACTCTATGGCGGACGAGGACGGCACCATCGACGCAATTCTCGACGCGCGGCACGCGCATTTAGACGCGTTCCCCACGGACGAGCTGCTGCAGCTCCGCGCCGTCGTGGCGTTCCTGCACGAGCTCATCGGGGAGGTGCTGGACGACGAGGAGGATGCGGAACGTGGGTCGAATCTACTGTTTCGCCCGCTCGGTGCGAATTACAGGCTACAAAACATAACTAACGTGGCTGAATGAATTCTGTTAGGCCTGAAAGACATCTGCCTCGCCACGGGCCCCGAAGTCATTCTTGCTGCCCACCGCGCGCGCACGACGGACGCGTTCGAGGCGGCGCTGGAGCCGGAGATGCTAAGCAGCGGCGAGGACAACGCGCTCTATGGCGGGTTCTTCGAGGGCCCGTTGGCAAGGATCTGGGAGGAGCGCGACGTGGTGGTCCGGGACAAGGAAGGGGTGGATGCGGATGTGATTCTGGATGGCGAGGAGGGTGTGGGTGTGGTGAAGGAGGATAAGTGCGCACAGTGCGGCCTCGTCGTCAGCGGCGACGCCAGGCTCTGGACCGAATCCAGTACGTCCGCCTTCCCTTCCTCTCCTCTGCCTACCTCCAAATTTATTAAAGAACAGCCTGGCCCACCCTCATCTCCATCGACTTCTGCGCGCTCCTCCCCGGCCTCCTCCCGCAAAACGAAGTCGAAGCCGCAGCGCTCGTGCCTTTGCTCATGCACCCGAATCGCGGCGCGGCCGTGGTGCTGCGCGGGATCTTCGATGACGGCTTGCTCGCAAAGGAGTACAAGGTGCGCGAGATATTCTATTTGTTGGTATTCGCCTGCTTACGCCGGTGCACCAGG